ATAAAAAATAATATATATAAAAATAAAAAATTAAAAAAGTGAAAGTTAAAGAATATATATAAAGTAAAAATAAAAAAATTAAATAATAAAAAAGTTAAATAATATATATAAAAGTGAAAAATAAAAAAAGTAAAATAATGAAAAAGTAAAATAATATATATAAAAATAAAAATTGAAAAAGTAAAATAACAAAAAATTAAAATAATATATATAAAAATAAAAATTAAAAAAGTGAAATAATAAAAAAATAAAATAATATATATAAAAGTAAAAAGTTAAAAAGTAAAATAATATTAAAAAATTTTACTATTATATAAATACATTTAGAATTTTTTTATTTTTGAAATTTGTGACTTTTATATTATTACTATAATAATATATTAAAAGTTTAATTTATTATATAATATAAATTTTTTTATTTTCAAAAAATTATAAAAATTCAAAAATAGTTAAAAACAATATTAAATATTAATATTAAATTAATTAATTAGATTATAAAATTAAAATATTAATTAATCTAATTATATAAAAAAAAATTCAACAAAACAAAGTAAAAATAAATTTTTAAGAATGATCTATATTTTTATATTTATAGAATTGCTTTTTAAATATTAACAAAAAATATTTCTTGCAAAATTTTGAATTAAAATAATTTTATTTATCTTATTCTAAATTCTAATAAATTTTTTTGTAACATTAGTATAATTTATAATTTTATTTTATCTTTTTATATATTTAATATCTTATTATTTTATTTTTTTTACTTTTTATATCTTATTATATCTTTTATATTTTATTATTTTATCTTTTTTACTTTATTATTTTACTTTATTATTTTTCTATCTTATTTTTTATTTTTTTATTTTATTATTTATCTTTATCTCTTTTAATTATATATTATATTGAAATTTGTATTTACAAAAAATATATAATAAAAAAATATCTAAACTTTTAATTTAACATGATAAAACTTAAAAATAAAACAAAAATCTTATCTTTTAACATTTGTCTTTTTTATTTTAAAGCTTGTATACAAGTAATTTTGAATTATATTGAACTTATTAAAATATTATTATTAGAATTATGAATTGGAATAAGTATTTTTGTTATTGACTAATTATTTGAATTTTAATATTTTAATATTTTTGATATTTTGGAATTCCTTACTTGTTAAAAATGTAATATTCTTAACTTGTAAGAAAAACAAAATGAAAGAATCTTTATTATTTTGGTATTACTAATTATATTATTCTATCTCCGGAATACTCAACTTTAATATAGATAATTAAAACAAAATAACAAAATAAAATATTATACATACTTTTTATTATTCAAATACTTTTTTTTATCATTTTGAGTTCCAATACCTTTATTATAACATTAATTGAGATTGTCTTGTTCTCTAGCATATCCACTTTCTGTTAATTTCAAATACTATTTGAATGCTTTTATATCATCTTTTGTGCGCTAATACTATTTCAATAACAAATACATGTACTAAGATTGCATTGTCCTATAGCATTTCCACTCTCTGATGTTGTCAAATACTATTTGAATGCTTTTTTATCATCTTTTGTGTTCCAATACCATTTTGATAATAAATCCAAGATTGCATTGTCTTTCAACATTTCCACCATCTAGCATTCCACCCTCTGATTATTTCAAATTCCACGAAAAAGCTTTTCCGTCATTTGCTTGCGTCCCAATACCATTTCGATAACAAAACCCAAGATTGTATTGTCCTTTAGCATCTTCCCTTTGCTGATTTCAAAGACCTTGCTTTTATCTTTAAGTGTACCAACCCATTGTAGCAAAATATTGAGCAATCGCATTATTTTTCTTTGCTGAATTTTTATAAAATTTAAAATTCTGTTCAATTTTAAAAAACAAGAAAAATTATACTTAGAGTGCCATTATGTTTTATTTAAATGCTATACTAATTACACTTTCAAATAAAAGTTCTGTTTTTTGAATAACCATTTTTACAAACTAAATTATAAAATATTAAAAGAGTGCTATTATTGAATTTCTAAGCTAATGTGAAGGATCTTAAATATTTAGATTTAATATGAAAAAATATATCGATTATAAAATGTATCAAATTATTTAACTTAATAATAATAAAAATAAAGAGACATCAATTCATCCGAGCTTGCCCGAGGATTGTTCTTTGAATATTTTAAGAGCCAACTTAAAGCACGATGATCATCTTTTAATACGCCATATCCATAATGACAATGACCCGCCATATCTCGCTGTGCTGCTTCGAATCCCTTTTCGGCCGATGCTTGAACCCAATAAATTTTCTCCTTACAATTATACAAAAACAATGCATATTTAAACGCCCCTTGCGGATGTCCTAGCAATGCAGCTCGTTTATACGCTTCTTTAGCTTTCACGTGGTTTGTCTTTGTGATTTGATAAAGCTCACCAATTTGTATATTTGCAAAACTATCGTCTTTATCAGCTGCATGTTTATATAATTGAAATGCTTCCTCTAAGTTGTAAGTTTCAAATCCAATGCCGTAGTGATGAAAAAATCCAAGTAGACATGCACACTCGATAGATGTTTCCTTTCGTTGTTCTAGAAGGTTGATGATGTGCTCGAGATTATGTTTGTTTTTAAAAATCCAATCTTCGATTGTGGATTGTACAGTCGAGTCCCAGTCTATTAGGGTTTGTTGATAGTAAAGTATTATGAGTTGATCGATTAGTTTGTTGTCTTTGGATTTTTGTTCGTCAGTATTTATTATCGTTATCTCATTTTCGCTATCGTTTGATGAATTCAACATATTTATGAAAGTTTATTGTAATTATAAAGAAACAAGAAAAACATTCCTATTTTATAGTTATGTTTACGTTTAGTCAAGTACGTTCATGTACAACATTATCAACATTATTGTTATGATAATGGCGATCAGAAAATAGACCGTTTTAGCGTTAACGTTAGTGTTAGCGTTAGCGTTAGCGTTAGAACGTGGTGATCTTGCTATTTGATTGGTGACTAGCGCTCGTGATCAGGAAAAAGAAAAATAATGATTGTCATAAATCTTATCTCGTTATCGTTATCTAAACTCGGGTTGATTCTAAAATTTTTCGCATTTACATATTAACATATCAATCATATCAATCAAGAACTGGAAGCTGGAATATTTTTATTTTCAAAAGTTTTACTAAGATGCATGTTTACCTTGAATAACGTTAAGATTGAAGTATTTAAAATGAGTTGCATAAATCATTTCACGGTGAAAATTTGAAAACTCATAAATAGAAAATTTTGAATTTGAATTCGAACTCGATTACATAGAGGATAATAAAAGTTAAAGTATGGCAAAAATCAAAAATACAAATACGATGCCAAGAGCAAAAAAATCCATAACAATAATACATGTAGTACGCGTAATAAATAAAAATCGATACATGTATTTAAAAAGTACATGTATCAGTATTAATGAATTTAGAACAATAACAATACGTATCGGTATACAGTATATGTATTCGATCTATTGCTACCGCTGCTACATGTACATGTGCATACTTGATATCCTGCCTGCATCTGTCCAAATTTTATATTGATTAGTTTAGAACCAGAACCAGACAATAACTTGATGCAATCGATCTAATAATGAATTCTTATCCTGCCTGCATTTTAAACAATACATCAGAAATTTTGATGAGTTTAAATGACTTTTTGAACAATTCGAAAATGGAATGACTATCGATGAATAATTATAAATACGAGTTCGAGGTTAAAATGCACTCAACTCGCAATCAATTGAGTTTTAGCGTATTCAAGCAGAAACAAACAATTAACATAACTTAATTTAGAAAATTTAGCATGCCTTCAAACAAATTCCAAATCGCCTTAATGTCCAAGAATTCAAGTGGAATTTCCAAGCCAAACTTCACAGCTATCATTAATAAAATCACACCCACTTCTAACAGTAAACTTCCTCAACCCAAAAAAACTCACAAAAAAAACGATTCAGGCTTTTGTGAAGAATTGTTTTCACCAATTCCTATCAAGTCAAAATCCAAAAATATTATCAACAAAAAGATATCTTTGTCAGCTTCTTTATATCCTAGTTGTCTTGAATTGAGCAATACTCCTAAGAAATCAACTGCTATTCGCTTCAGCAAAAAAGGACGTTTAGTATATAACGACGATCCCAAATTGAACGCGTGGTTCAAGGCTCCTCTTGCAATCGCTCTCAAATGGAAAGGATTCGCTCCAGAAGCACAGTTTCGCAATCTTTGTCATACCACTTCTAAGAGTACGAAAGTTGGTGCCAACAAAAATACATGTAATACATTTGTTAATGCGACAGAATCAGGTTTTACTCATGAAGCAATTATCGAGAAATTCGTCAAATTAGAATGTGATGCTATATATCTGGAGGCCAGAGCTAAAGTAATTGCCAGAAGATGGGCTGCAAAGAGAAATGCTGTTTTAAATGCTAAGAAACGGATCGACGTAATAAAAAACGGGCGAAAATCAATGACAACGAGAGATAGTGTAGATGTTAAATTTGAATTTGAAGAGTGAGCATTATTTTTCTTTTTATTTGTATGTTGATAAAATTGACTTTTTATTAATTATAAAATATTTTATTATTTTAGAAAATTGGGTTGGAAAAAAATCGAAGCGTTTCGAAAATTGAATTCACAAGCACCAGTTGTTGATACTAAAATAGTTGTTGATATTGAGTTTTACCTTGACGAGTGAGTATTTACAGAATCTTTCTTGCCATCACAGATCTTTACTAATTCTATTTTTTGTTTATTAGACTTGAAGGATGGTCCCGTATCGATACGATTAAATCCGAACTTTCACAATACAAAAATACCGATACGTCAGATAATAGAAAATCGAATTGGTATAACGATAAACAAATGATCTTAATTTTTTCTCTCTTTTTTATCTTTGGTGGATTCCGCATTCTTTGTTTCTTTTGTAAATTTATATAGCGATAGATAGAGCTAATCAAATAGATTTAAATATGTTTTCTAGAGATTTCAATGAATTATCTTGCAAATTGTGGATTTTAAAAAGACATTACGTACGTACCAGTTGAATGAACATTTTTGACATACACTTGTATCAATGTCGATTTGAGCAATGACATTCTTTCAGTAGCATTCACACCGAATAAAAGCTTGATATATTTATTCCAAGCTCAGTCATTTTGAATAAAATTGTTGGTTACATATTTAGATTGCTAAAACGAGTTGAGCATGTAGTCGTATTATTTTTGTTTTTAAATTTCTGAGAATTAATGTTATCGATACTTCTCGTTTTATAGTGCTACGTGTAAAATTGAATCGAACCTTTTTTAATCTTTCTCGTCAATAAAATCAATACCAATAACTTAAAAATGAAATTTGAAATAAAAACAAACATCACTCATTTCTTTATAGCTTTTCAATGTTACAGTGTGCCAATGTATATCGATATGTAGCGGTGGATTTAAGGTAATCTGTTCACTAATACATCTCAGTGTTGTATGCACTTCACTAAAGTAGAAATTTATATATTTAAAATTTATATTTTTGAATTCTTGAGATTTTTGTAATTTAAAAGAATCAAAAAAAAAAACACAAAAATCCATGCAGTAATTCTTGAAAAATGTTTATTTTATAAATTATATTTTATAATATTTATTTATAATAAAATCTGTCATATCAATAGCAATTTTCTACTATTAAGAAAAAGCATTTTTTGTTTGAGCAAAAAAATATAATTTAAAATATAAATCTGCTGCGTGTATTTTGTGTTCTTTGGTTTTTTTTCAAAAATATTATATATTATATAAATTTTAAATGTATAATTTCTACTTAATTTTAAAAGTGTCAACAATATTTAAGACGCCCCTCTGTAAATAATAGAATTTTTATTTGGTTTTGCTATTGCTATATCCTGAAACTTTCTTCCTAAATAGATTTAATACTCTATATAAATTCTAGAATATAAATATTCAACAAAAGTTACATTACAGTTGACTTTGGGAAACATAAAAAATTTTTCGAAAAATTTACTATAACGAGAGTTCTTAAGAAAATATATGGTTTTAATTTTCAAAAGTTTATTATATTATAAAGCGTAAACTGTGCTTGGTAGAAATTATATATTTTACTAATAGCTATAGTGGCGATGACATGAACTTCGCAATAATTCTGCTATGTAAAAAAAAAAACTTTCAAAGCTTTATGAAATTCTAACAATCATTAACACAAATGATATAGTGTATAGCCAAATGATTACTTTAATCAAAATGTATGCTAATATATTCAATGTTAGATAGCGAATGATTAATGTTTAATATCTGTTATTTAATTCCGGTAGCTTTTGCTATTAATACAACCTTTTTTGTAAAAGTGATTTACACATATCCAAAGTAAAGACTTAAAGTGAGAGTGAATAATAATGCACTACCGTTCGCCAAATAAAATTGCCGGCTTGCATTTGAATTCTAAATTAAAAGCATTAGAATTTTTTCAGACCTGAAAAAGGCTATAATGAAATTTATAAAATCTACCTTTGCCGGAGGCTCCTCATCAAGAAACTCCCAGCTAATACTAATCCGTCCAATACTGTTGTCCGACAACTTATTAAACACCACCTGATACAAATCCAAATCGCCAGACTTACATTCTGGGCACAAATCAACAATAGTTGCATCGACACTTTTAATCTGGCTTTTCTCATCTTTCATGTGATAGATTCTGACCTTTTTACCGCATGCCAAACTAGTGGGCGCGTCGTTTTTTTGTTTTTCGGGCGCGTATTTAAGGTAGTCTGGTTTGTTGAGTGCTACAATGTAATCATTGTTGTGGTTGTAGAGTTTACTGTTGCATGAGACTTGGCCTGCTATTTGAACGTTATCGGTCATTTTGTACCAGGTACCGTCACCTTTGTATTTTCCATTGCCAGGGAGTCCTTTTGCGGCATCAGGTTTTGCAAAGCTTTGTACCGAAGTTACGTTTTGGACTAGTGTTGTGTTTTGTATGATTAGAGTGTCATTTTTTAAAGTATCGTTATTCTTTAACGGCTGTATAGTTACATTTTGTATGATTGGCATTGAATCATTATTATTATTATTATTATTATTATTATTATTATTATTATTATTATGATTATTATTATTATTATTATTATTATTATCGAGAGCGATTATAGACTCGAAGAAAAAGCTAATTTCTATTAATATTAGGATAATATTTAGCTTCATTATTATATTACGTTGATCTATTTGTTTTCCTGATTTTGATATATTATCTAAATTTTCTAAGTAGAATTCGACACCAGGTATTCAACACCAGGTCAAAGCCTAACAACGCTCAGCGTCAATTTTTTTTTAAAAAAATAAAGAATGAAAATAAAACAGCAAGCTAAAGCTTAAAAGAATGAAAATAAAACAGCAAGCCAAAGATTAAAAACATGAAAACAATAAAAAAAATACAGGCGGGGTAGTATTTATTTATTTTATTTGAATTCTTTATTATTATCGTAATTATTATTTTTATGCATAACGATAACAATTGTTTTACTAAAAAGTTATTAGAATCGCCACGAGTGAAGGGGAAGTTATAGTGCGTTGGTTACAGGTATTTTTTAAAATGTTCTTTTTTTACTATGCATGTTTGCATATAATATTATCTGAAGTACATACGTAATACGCATTAGAGTCTACGTATATGTAATAATATTTGCTGTTTCTAGAAACCGAGTCTCTTTATACATGTATTTCTTTATCACACGATTCTTTATGCGAAATCCTTATTACCCAATCTTTCCGGCCGTTTAGTGCATATACATGTACAGTCCATACATTTTGGGTTGCACATAAAAATCAAATGGGTACATTCACATAACAAGTCTTTGAATTAAATTAAAACCATTTTATAAATTTTCGAAATGTGATGTTTATGTCGTGCTTCGGGTGTCACTCGATACAAATGATATTTCGTTGGCAGCCGATGAGACGTCCTGAACTGCACCAATAAATCATTAATAACAATAATTGTATTTCTAAAATAAACTTGCAGTTGCATTAATATATGCTCTCGGAGTCAAAGAAGGAAAACAACAGTCCCTTCATTAAACTGTTTGCCCTTTCCCAGGCATCAGTTTCAAAAACTCAGATCTGGCAAGTATCGAATCTTTATACAGTTTTCGGTCTTATCGCGTTTCCATTAAGCGATCCACACAACGCATCAAACTCATTAATTTCTTCTTAGCCATATTCTTTCATAACGATAAGATTGCTGCCCCGGACCAACGTTTTGGCTTCCGGCATCAAATTATCATATCGAAATAAACAAGATGTAGTTCTTTTGCCAGAAGTCGTTTGTTAATCTGAAAAGGAGAAATGCGTGAACCAGGATGATGGTTAAATTAGTTGTATTCCTGTTCCTCAACAAAGATTGGAATTTTTCTTGGCGTCCTTGATGGTAAGGTTTTTGTTGTACGGAGGAAAAGATTCATCATTTTTCAATAACGGTTTCGGGACCGATGTCATTATGCACAAAAAGATCAAGAAAATCATGTTTTGGGTCGATGCACCGATGTATTATCATTATCAATACACAGTACAATTGGATGGCAGTAAAAAATAAACTAAGTTTACCTATTCATATAATACAGTCAACCCTGTTTATAACGAACTGACAATTCTATTAATAGAAGTTCGTTATATCAAATATTTAATTTAAAAATTGTGGTTATATCCGTGCCCATTATAAAAAGTTATATCCAGAGTTGACTGTACTTTAATTTTCCGCATTTTCATCAACTTTCCATCTGCAAAACTTTGGTCTCCGATATTTTTGATCAATTCTCGAAGTTCCCTAAAACATCAAATCAGTTGGTAGCTTGTTATCGGCATCAAAATTTTTAGCTATTTCTTGTATGTATTTTTCAATGTATTGTCGGCTGAACAGCCTAACAGATGGAATCCTTCTTTTTTCGTGCACTAAAAGATTTCAGGACACAAACAACTTGTTGACAGATAAAATTTTTTTAATTCTGGCTGATTGAGAATATTGCAACTGTTAGCAGGTGATAGTATAGGCGGAATTATGACCTTGCATTACGAGATTTTCGAAATTGTAATATTCAATACAAAAAATGGTATATGTAGAGGTCCCGATTAGATCCGATTGTCCAAGGAAATCAACTAAATTTTATTTTATTGTTAAATATGATGTAATTATATTAACTACGTATATCTAAAAGGTCAAAATATAACTTATTTTATTGAAATCAAACTCGCCGGATGGATTAAATCACTCAAAATTTTCCAAATCGATTGTTATAATTAGTCGGTCAAATCCGGATTACGGATTGAATGATTCGGACCATTATAATTCAGTATGCAACAAATATTTCCACATCGATATGCATTTTAATTCATTCAATGTTTAGTATTCCCTTTTTTCCTTCTATCCTAATTCTACCCCCTCCTACTCTACTTTCCCTTCTATTATTAATTTAATTTCTGTACCATGTTTTTGTTACCGCCGGCGGACAAACTTCCTCGACTACGGTTCTTCGGGGATAATCGACAGAAAAACGAGTCGCGGATGTCAATAACGTCGGATTAATGTATGTTGGGCGTTGCTGATTTCCAAAATCGGTAAACGTTGCAGCGAATTCCCATCACGATCGTCAACAATACCGCAGGTTTCCTAATCCGGTAGATTTTTCTAATACCCTAGCAACGGTAAAAATCTGCGCAACCAATAGAAATGTGGCAAATTTTTGATCAGTTCTGGCAAAACAAATCCGAAACAAGAAAATACGGGAAACAGATATCTTGAAGCACTATTAAAAAATGTCGGGAAGGAAATTTTATATATAATGTATATAATGTATATAATGTTCACTCGAGCTCTAACCCAAATCCTAATACTTGACCTTTAATATGAATCGGATATTTCAATGGCTTGGATCGACATCACGTGATCCGACACATTTTTTCGCCGTGGCAGGGTTCTAAGATTTTTCACATGACGACATGCTAATAAAAACAACAAGTTCCCCTTTTAATATGCGACACGGAATTACGCCACTCCCCGCGTTCTTTTTACAGCGTCTCCTCATTATTTTTCAGCATCTCATCATTGTTTTCAGCATCTCCTCATTGTTTTTCAGCATCTCCTCATCGTTTTCAGCATCTCCTCATCATTCAGCGTTTCAGCATCAGTTTTCAGCATCTCTTTATCAATCTTCGGCACGGTTCCATTAGTTTTCGATTTTGTAACAGTTTCTTCTATCGATTATAGAGCGTCCGTTATAAACTCTTTTTTATTTTATTTTTAGTAAAACGTTATGCTTTCTCTTCTTTGATAGTTTGATAGTACAAAAATTACACACAAAAAACGTATAAAAGAATGGCCCACGGGCTACTAATAAAAAAAACAGAATTCATATTGCGAACAATTATTCTTCAAGTAAGCTATTTGTAAAAAGAGAATTCACATTGCGTACAATTGTTCTCCAAGCGAAATTAAACTTGAATTATTGCGTAAAATTATTCTCCCCTAAGTAAATTATCGCTTGTAAAACTCTCCCCCCCCCATTTCCCCACTTTAATCGTTATATTGATTGTCGGTTAGGTCCTTTGTACCAGAAAAGGCATTGTTTTATGTAGAATCGCATTGTTAATGAAAAACTGTTTTTGTGTGATCGTAATTATCGTTATTATTTTTAAGAGTTTAAGGCTTTTGTCTAGAAAAAGCAACGATTGTAGTTAATATTTTTAAGAGTTTAAGGCTTTTGTCTATAATCAACGATATCTGTAGATATCGGCACAGGCTCTAGATAACGAAATAAACATCACTCAGTCTAATAATCTAAAGTCTTGTTGCGTTAGAAGAAATCCCTCAATTCGCCCCAACTTAACAATAAGCGCAACATTGTCACCACGTTGTCACCATGTTATCACCGTATTGTCATCATGTCGACGTCATGGCGTTGCCGTTGTACAATTCAATCTTACCGGTTCCTTGTCTAGCGCTAGCTCATGTTGGCTAACAACTTAATTGTAAATTTGTCAATAACGATAACGATAACGATAATTTTCAGAATTGAAATTATACGTACATGTACGTATATCGATATTGATGCATTTAAAGAATATCGATATACCGATACAGTATTAATCAGTGTCGAAAATTCATTTTCAATACTGTATTATGTTATCAATTAAACCAAATTATTCTTAATAGAGAATTTTAAATGTTCAATGAATTTACAATTTCATTATATCAAGAAAAAATACATTCTATAACAGCATTAGTCAAAGAAAGGAAGTGCAAAGCAATTTTTTCATTTACAGTGCTCGCCATATATAATGAGAAAAATACGCCATTTTTTATTTTGGCATTCTTGAAATATATAAAAATTTACAGATATATATAATTTAATATATTGTAAACAAGTTTTCTTAAGACTACTTAATAACATATTTGATTTTTATTTTTTGATATAATGCTATAAATTTAATTAAAAAATTTTCTTTTTTGGCTTTTTTTAATACTTTAAGCTAATAAGTTGCCTTAAAAAACTTGTTCGTAATATATCAAAGTATATATATTTAAATTTTATACGTATGTTTTTGATCAATTTTCATGATGTATCGGTATGGTGCATACCATCTCATCTAAAGTCATCAAACGTTTGTATTTTATAAAATGGATAAACTTCTCAACTAAGAAGTAAATTCAAAATTTAATATGGTGTAATAAGCTTTTTTCTACCATATTCTAATATATGAAACAGTATATCTCATTATATATGACGAACACGGTATGAATAAAGATTGTACAATAGCTTAACGAGAATACCCAAAACAGCAATTCATTTAATCTAATCTAATCTGATCAAATAAGAGAACATTTGTAACCATAATGTTCTCAAAAATATTGTAATGTTCTTTGAATGCAATGAGAACATTGAATTTTCAACACTGCCCATCACACATGTTATTAACTTATTGCCCAATAAAATTTGATTAGTCCATTAATTGGCTTCATATTACATGTATATTTGTAGAAATAGATATCTTTTGTGTTTGTTATTAGAATAATTGGTTTTTAAGATAATATGTTTATGAATGTAGTATAGATTCGGAATATTTATGTAAAAAAAAAGCCGTTTAATTAAACTATAGATTAAATTAGCCGTATTTCTGACAACTGACCATGCTCCGCAATATCGTTCGTAATATCGTTTTGCTTGGCCTCGCGTCGATGATAGTAAACTATACCAACGGCGACCAACGCAAACACAAATATGAAACCGCCAATAGCACCACCAATAATCGCGGCTGTATTTGATGTATTATTATTTGTCACGTTGACAATTGTTTGATTGATCGTGGTCGTTGTGGTAGGTAGTGGTTGTTTGGTGTATGTGGATACCCACTCGTATTTGTAATCAGTGGAATTTTTTGTGTCGAGGAGGTATACTGATTTGCTGGGTTTTTCATCTTCAGATCCTATACAATTTTTTAATATTATTAAAATTCAGATATTAAATCAATTTCATATGGTGCATAAAATCTAGTCATCAAACGTTTGTATTTTATAAACTGTATAAACTTCTTTACTACAAAATTTAATCCGTGAATATGCTCAGAAAAGACCTATTCTATCATGTTCACGGATTAAATTTTGTATTTACTTCTTAGTAAAGAAGTTTATACAGTTTATAAAATACAAACGTTTGATGACTTTAGATTTTATGCACCATATCGATATTACTGGTAAATAAATTAAAATTACCAAAAGCTACAACCATTATATCTCCGATCATCGTTGCAGTATGATGACTTGGAATGATTGTTGGTGGTCGATTTTTCACACCGGGAAATACCCATGTGAAGCTTCTTGTATCCATTACAACGAGAGAATTCTGTAATGATAGTGGAGTTGGGGAAACTCCTCCATATACTATTATACTATATCCATCTGGAGCTATTAATTATATTATAAAAATATTTCTTTAGTAAAAATTGTTATTTTGTAAAATACGAGTTGGAAATATTTATTAATACCCAAGACTGCACTATGTCGTGCCCTATTTGTAATATTTGCTCCTTTAGCAGTCTAAATATATGTTAATATAGAGTTATCGTTATTTTCAATAGCAAATAAAAAGATAATTTCATTCAATTACGTATACATACATAATTTATCCAAATATTCACATTTGTGTTATATTCCCAAATCTATATTACATATTAACGATAATAATAAATTAAATAATCTCTCAAAAAATAAAAAAATAACGAAAAAATAAATCATACCTGATTTATATCCGTGAAACTACTCGCATTCCTCGTCAAAGCTCCTCCAATATAAATAAGTCGCCCATCTGGCAACAACGTGACACTATAATCGCCTCGCGATTTCGGATTAAACGAAGGAGTTGAATTCGTCCACTTTAATGCAGTTGTGTCACATATCCATAATGCTCTATCGGTGTTAAAGCCGCCCCAAATATAAATTAATCCACTACTATCCATCGCTGCTTTTGTATTGTCTCGCCCATCAGGCAGTGGGCCAGTGAAATCTAGTCTTGCTAGTGATTCTGTATTTGTTGAGGGATCAAGTTCGTAGACGTCGCCGCTTTGGTCATTTGGTGAACTTAGCGAGTTGTTAGATTGCTTTGTTTAAATTATAAAAATTTTATATGAACTAAAATATAATCGCTACTAGAATATCAAAAAAAAAAATAAAAATAACACATACAGGAATTTGCCCACCATAAAGAAAAATAGTCCATCCATTCTTTCCGCCAACTGTCGTAGTCCCAAAACTGTTACCATTGAAATTCGCCAAAGTCTTATTTGTATTCATAAATGCCGGCACTGATGAACTAAAATTCGTCGATAGATCAAGATAAAATAAATCGGTGTAACTTTGACTTAATGACATCCCTCCTATGAAATAAAGTTTATCGCCAACAAGACTCGCTGTGGTTCCTGTTCTTTCGCCGGGTCTGTAATAGTAGGTGGCATCATTATCATCTAATTGTGTCCATATACCTTTTATGAAGAATAGGTATAGGTATAATAGTGTTTTGTAGTATTTTATTATTGTTTTTGAATTTGAATTCATTTTTTACTTTGCAGTTAGATTATTATTCTGATTGTTATTATTTTTAATTTGAAAATTTAAAAGAAATAATTTCGGTGAAATTCTTGAGTGTTAGATATTTATGCAAGAAAAGATATCGATATATCCGTTGCAAGAAATTAAAATACTACGTACTTATATTATTTCAATGAAAATTACATGTACATGACATGTACGTAATAGGTTTCGACCACATGCATATCGATATATACGTAGCATTTAAAATGCCTTATTTACTCAATTTACATAACTAGCCAAAAATTACAGATACCGTATTTTGCCGTATAAAAGCATCGGTATCCCCTAAATAAAGTGGGATAAAAATCATAATAACGATAATGTAATACCATTCTTCTTTCCACTGATATTTAAACTTGTTTCCATGTACAACCTGCCGTTTCATAGCTCAATTTTTTGTTTTGTTAATATAGGACACTTGGTCGAACAGGATAAGTTTCACCTGTGGTCTAAAGTACAGGTAAAAATAGGAAAATTAACCCATATTTTTGTTTCGAGTTTTGACAAATCCAGATGTCAGGTTTATTATTATTACACTGCAATCTGAAATCGATAAGAGTACATGTACTAGCCTTAGTAGCATTTACGCGATCAATAGGTATACACTTAGCGTTAGTCCGCGATTAAATCCAAAATTGCACGCTGAACATTTTTTCTTAGTCACTCAGCCTGGGTTTGCTTAATAAAACTCGAGTTATTAACAATTTGTCAGTTTTGTTTTTTTTCGACACAAAAAAATTTGGATCTAAAAATGATTAAAATGATTGGTTAATAAAGATTTTTCACGTGCATTTATTGTTCTCCGATTGGTTAACACAATTTGTAAACTTGGTCTAAAATATGGGTAAAAGTATACGTAGTTGAAAATGCAACTTTTTGAAAAAAATTAACCCATATTTTTGCTTTTGGACAAAAACAAGGACAAAATTGTAAGTTTGTAATTTTTTACTCTGTTCGACCAGTGGGATGTCGTTGGATTTATCACTATTGATTTAGTAATAAAATTTTTGAAGAAAATGAATCATGAATCAATACGTAATTGGTTTTATTAAAAAAATGGACTAAAATAAAGTTTAGATTTTCTACAAGGGCGGAGGAGTACCTTTATGCTAAAACCATTTAGCGTTAGTGGTTATTGTTATCCCTATCCGGACAGCAAAAATTAATTTTTTCACGAATTTAAAATATAACAGTTGAGAGTACCTATATATCATTAATCAATAAAAACGATAAAAAATCTTTTATTTTAGTGAATACAGTAATTGTTACTCTTACGTATATAGGAATAAATTTACAATTTCTAGGATAATATACTACAAGTTATTCTCAATAATGACAGAATTTTATATGTATACAAAAATAAAGGCGTTGTGGATGACTGAAAAATTAGCAAAGTGATTGAAAAATAGAAATTACCAGTATAAATAATTTGTTATTTTATCATTCTAAAAGTACTAACCAGAATTCTTTTGAAATGATGAATATAAGAATCAAATAAAATATTCTCAATTACACAATTACTAATAATTATATGAAATCCCATGTAATAGGAATACGGCCCAGTGAACGATCAGCAATTGCATCAAACATAGTGGGTGACATATCAACATCTCCCGCTTTGCATTCGGGACACCGGTCTTGGACTGTGCCTTCAACCTGTTTTCCATTATAGTAAATTCGAATTCTTTTACCACATAATGTGTTTTTATTCGGATTTCCGTTCGGGGTGGATGGATCGAAATCTGGTGCAGCAAGTGCAACAACACTAGAACTGTCGTCATCTTGATGACCGCAGGCACCGAGACCGGGATTGTAGTATGTACCTTCGCCTGAATGTGAGCCGGTACCACTTGAGGTGGTGCCACCACTTGGGGTGCTTGTAGTGCTGCTACCACCACTGCTAACACTAGATTTTGGATGTTTTCTACTTCTACTTTTTGGTTTCTTTTTCTTTTTTGGAATTGGCGAAGCATCAACTACAGCTTCGATTACCAGCATGAGAACCATGAGGAAAATGAGAGCTTTGAATAGACTGGATTTCATTGTGATGTGATTTAATTTTTTGGGTTTAACGTTAATGTAATGCTGATCGACTTGCAATTGTTTTAAGTTTATGTTGAAATGGTTTGTCTTAAAAAAAATACGACACAGCCGATTTTTTATATTTAAAGATATTTAATGTCTTAAAACTTCGACACCAGGTCAAAGCAAAAAAAAAATACGCTCAGCGTAAATGATCGATTTAACGTTATATAGAGGACAAGGCCGAAGAGGTAAAGAGAAAAGAAAAGAAAAGCCTGTTGCTTTTATAGAAAAAGACAACGCCATTAATTTTTAAAAAGGTTATTAATAGAGCCACATACATGTATATGCATGTACAACAATTGAAGTATGTTAATGGCGTTAATTTCTCCGTGTTGTTTTCATCCCTACATGTTGTTGTTGTCGTGCATCAATAATAATTGACCGACAGATACCGTAATAATAGCAACAATAAATAACGATAATTAATTATCAGATACTAAATTAGGAGGTCAGTTCTGTCGAACAAGGTAAATAAATTTTCCTATTACATTGACTTATTTGTACATGTATAACGATAACTAATCATTTCTTTTGCGTAAAAAGAAGTGATTGGTAAATATCAACCATGATACATGTACAACGAAATACATAACGATAAATCAATTGGTTAAGTATCGGTATTAATTAATATCAAGGATGGCTGAATCGAAACTTACATAAAAACAGTTCTCTAACGCTAAATGAATGAATCTAAGAAAACCAACGAGTTTGTCGTGTGCTATAGATTGATAGTTGATTCAATCTTTGTTTTTATCAAAATATATATGATAATATTTTTGCACAACCAAATAATATTTTATTCAGAAAATATAACTCATGCAAAGCTGTCTAAAAAAAACTCTTTATCCTATTGACAATTACACACACTAACCCGTATTTACTTTGTGCAGCAATGCGTTTCAAAAAAAAAACCAGCGGAAATCGGCACAATAAAGAATTTGTTGTAGTATACACAAGAGTCGCAATAGTAGGACAGTGAGAAAAGAGACAATAACAAAAAAATTAAAGATCAAAATACAAAAAAGACAGATTATGCTTTGAGTTTTTTTTTGTTTTGTTGAGACAAAGACAATTGAATTAAAATTGTCACGAGGTTTTCTATTTTGAAAATAAGGAATGAAATTGAATCGAACAGATTGGCTCAAACTTGTATGAATATCATGTTTTAAAAGACATTTAAATGTACATGTACTATAATGCAATTAAATGGTTTCAGAAATTTATCTACAAAATCCGTTTTTTCTTTTGTTGTATACAAATTGGGTATTTATTATTTTATCAATTGAGTCGTATTGTTCTTATTATTCTAGTTTTACATACATGTACATGTAGATTAAGCACAGAGCACTGATCTCACTCTTTTTAGAGTAACTGATCGGCTAATTCAAACTTCTATGAGTTTCTGAAACATTATTGTTGCTAAAGTGTTTGTCACATCAAAAAAAAAAAACACCAAAAATTTTGTTAAAAAGCATTACAAAATTTGACTTAGTAAATGTGATTATCGTTATACATGTACATGTACATGTACATGTAAAAGACAAACATGGTGTTTGTTTGACTCGACAATGAACAAGTTATGCAGGGTTGGTCAAGATAGTACATCCACTTTAGATGGCATCATATCAAGTGTTATAACTTAAAAGGAAGGATAATACATCGATATATATAAAAAATAATTTAACAAACTACTTAATAGCTTTTTGATTAAGCTATGATTTGGTTGATTTTTCTTTCTCGATATAAATTTATGAAATTGACGTTTACCAATAAAAATAAAGAGTTCTGATTGGTCAGATCGATTATTAGGTATAAGATCTACAATTCAAAATTAGCGTCATTGCGCAGGATTGGATGGTCCCGTTCCATTAACAAAAACATAAAACCCCGGTTTATCGAGAGTTGTCGGTTTATCGAGTCATTCATTATATACAGTGGCTCACATAAGAAACGCAACATGAAAAGTTTCACGGAAAAAAATTCTAGCACCCCCAAAATCAATTTGATATCTATAGTTTCTATACTCCTTTTTTCGTGAAGCTTTTCATGTTGCGTTTCTTATGTGAGCCACTGTATGTCGGATCCAGTTTGTCAATCCGCCAAATTGTCAATTTGGCGGATTGACAAACTGGGTCCGACATATACATGTACACAAGTTTATTAATATTCAGATACATACGTATACATGTACATGTAGTTGATTTTTCGGTAACATTATTAAAATAGAAATAACAGTTTTCTCAATACGTAAACAGGGATTAGATTTAACGAGATGGTTGCAAGTTATTTTTTATATCGCATACAGTAATATGTATAACAAAAAAATATACACAAAATAATTCGTCTTCGGTCAAAACTGATATGGTTCAAGTAATCTATACTTGCTCAACAATTTGTTTCAAAATTTGACCGGTAACTTTGTTCTTTATGATAAGCTCTATAAAGTTACCGGTCAAATTTTGAAAATTTTGTCTCTACATTGAGTCGAAAGATTTTAAAAATTGAAACAAATTGTTGAGTATAGATTACTTGAACCATATTTATTATATTTATACCGATACTAATAAATGCAATATTTTGTAAAATGGTACAAAATAAAAGAATACTACAAATACATAATCTTTTATACATGTATATCGATCTTCATTTTTGTGTGTAGAAATCACTCTAAACCGGTCAAAGTAAATATCCACTTTTTCATTTTTATGTTTATATATATTTCCAAGAAACTAAAACTCTTCCTTCGCTTGGCTTTGCTATTTTATTAAATACCACAGGCGACATATCAATGTCCCCAACTTTACAAGGTGGTGGACATCTGTCCTGAATAGTAGCATCGACTGATTTCCCATTTCGGAAAATACGTACACGTTTTCCGCATAAGGAATTCTGATTTGAATTTCCACTAGGAGGAGTATGTGGGTCGAAGTCTGGAGCTGCCAATGCAACAACCATCGTATTATCATTTGCTGTCGTGCCGCAAGCACCAAGCCCCGGATTGAAGAATGTTCCGTCTCCTGAGTGATTGCCGCTGTGTTTCTTTGGCTTCTTCTTCTTTTTGTTTTTCTTCTTTTTCTTCTTGGGTGTAGGTATGGGCATTGGCGTTGCAATTACCATCTCCAAGAAAACCATAAAGAATACGAGAATTAAAAGGATTTTGGGGATGCTGAGATTCATTTTCGTAGCTGACGTATTGTATTTATTGAATATGTATGATTTTAAAATTTTAGATTTTCTTGTTCTGTCTAAAAAATATGACGATATATTTGTCAAGATTTTTATTGCGACCAGTCGCAAATTTTTTAATAATACAGAAGAAAAAAACGTGATCACGGCAAGCCGTTTATAATCGTTTTTAACGTAAAGAAAAACTCTTTGGTTAAAGATACATGCTGCTTTTATACATTTTTTCAATGAGCTGATATTAACGCTAAAACGTGCGCAATACATGTATTACACCAGAAATTCTCACTATCGTTATAATCAAAGCAATTATCGTCAGGGCCATTGTAATACAGTTTCGGGAGAATTGTTAAATTACCCCCTCGTCATGTACACAATTCACAAAATTCTCTACCGATACCTAAATTAGATAGAAACTTTATCGTTAGCTTGTAACTCAAACTTAATCTTTTGTTTTTGTTTTTATCACTTATCGTAAATTAATTGTAAGTTTATTGCAATAAAGTTATACTTCTCCTAAAGCATACTGTTGTAGAATTCGTTACAATATTCTTAACTTGGGAAACCTTGACTAATATCTCATGTAACGAATGTGATTGTAGTGTTGTAGAATTTGTCATAATTAATTATCTTGATTCGGGAAATCAAACTAATATGTTATCGTGTAACAATGCGGCTATAGTCGTGGTTGTGATTGTGATTGTCATTATTCAGTGTTGTCAATGGAAGCATTCGGAAGTTCATTGGAAGGTCATTGGAAGGCATTGGAAGCAAAATTAATATTAAATTGATTGTTCCAATGGACTTCCAGTTGTCATAAAAGCCCACTGGAAGCAAAAATCAACAACAAATTTTCATGACATTTTTCGATTATTACGTAGTTCGAATATGAGTTCCGTTTTTATAGTCATTCTTTTAGTATGGTTCATAACATCTAAAGTCATCAGATATTTGTATTTTATAAAATGTATAAACTTCTTTGCTAAGAAGTTTATATGGTGCATAAAATCTAAAGTTATCAAACGTTTATGTTTTATAAAATGATAAACTTCTTTACTAAGAAGTAAATACAAAATTTAATCCGTGAATATGCTCCGAAAAAGCTATTCTATCATATTCACGGATTAAATTTTGTATTTACTTCTTAGTAAAAAAGTTTATACATTTTATAAAATATAAACATTTGATGACTTTAGAATTTATGCACCATACAAAATTTAATCTATAAATATGCTAGAAAAAATTAAATTTTGTATTAACTTAGCAAAGAAGTTTATACATTTATAAAATACAAACATTTATGACTTTAGATATTATGCACCATAGTTAAATATTTATTAGCTTTACAATATATATATTCTTTCTATAAATAACAAAATTGTATAAATAGAAGCTTCTCACTGAAAAAAAGAAGCTCACATCAAAATAATAAATAAAGATAAAGATTGTTAATAAAACATCTTCTCTTATTTGTCTTTGAATAACTTCGAAAGTTATCATTTGAAATATCCAGTTATGTACCATTTTGATATTTGTGTGAACTATTTCTTGCAAAAAAAAATTGAATGGATGTCAATTTATATTATTAAAAATAATTTGATTTTTTCTTTGTTAATTAAATTAAGCCAGTATTTAATTATTATTTGAATAATATGTTCATGTTTATGTGTTAATTTGTGACAATACCAAAAGTGTTCTGTGAATTATGCTTTTATAAAGCAAGATTTGCAATAAGAATTTTTATAAGTTTCTGACCAAATATTGAATAAATATTGAATTATAGGTAAGATTGCTTGCTAAAATCTCTTAGTAATCACTGAAATTCTGTTGAAATTATAATAAACTATTAGTAAATAGCCTACTGAAATTCTGATAAGTTTTGAAACCTGTTATATAACTGAAATTATATTGAAATTCTAATTAATAATTAGTGTATAATAATTCATCAAAATTATGATAATATTTTTTTGAAAGAGTTTAGACAAGTATTCTTAGTTATAGATAAACTTTATAAAAATTTTTGAGTGCAAATGATTTGAGATTAGCTGTTTTAATTAATGTATATTAAGATAAATATTACTCTTCCAATACCAAATTGCAAAAATGAAGTTCCAATTAATATTGATAATTTTTAATTAAAATTGAATTATATTATTGTTTTGCCATATAAATTTTTGTCTAATTAACAATTAGTTTTAAAATAATATTATAAAATAATTAAGACACAATAAATTACTAACTAAAATAAGAAATATATTATATAAGATTATATAATATATTATTTATATAAAACTTAATCAATAATAATATACTAAAAAATATAAAAATATATTTAATTAAAGATAAGATAATTCATTTTATTGTTAAATTATTTTTAAAAATTCTTTAATTAATAAATTTTCTAAAAATAATAGAAAATATAAAAATCTCTAAAAATAATAGCAAAATAACAAATTAATAAAAATAATATATATATATTATCTAATAATCATATAATTATATTATTATTTATTATTTCTTATTTTAGTAATTATTAATTCAAAATATCTATTTTATTTCTCAAAATATCTTATTTATATTCAAATCTGATTCAAGATTTGAACTGAACTTGAATCAGACTTTAACTTGAGTTAAAAAAAGTTTAAAGTTTGAATTGAACTCAAATCAGATCAAATTATTATATAAATTCAAGTCTGATTTGAATTTAATTAAAAATCAGTATATATTAATTTGTGATTCTAAATAAGAGTTACAATTTTAATTATAAGTGTCAAATATCAATTATATTATTTAGTAAAAATTAAATATGTACTTAGTAATAATTAAATTATTTTTATTTTTACAATTATTAAATTTTATTATAAATTATATATATTTCTTTGAATAATTATTATTAATAATAACTATCTTATATCAAATTATAGTTTATATTTTTGATTATAACTTTATTTATAATTATAGTTTATTATTACTATAGCAAAATAAATATTTAATATAAAGTAATTACCAAAATGAATTAAAATTATAAAAATTAAAAATAATTTTTAAATTTAAATAACTTTTTGAGCATTTTTTTTCAATATCTATTATTTTATATCAATTTGTAGCTCTAATTCTGATCTATAACTTTATTTAGAAGCTTATTAAATATTTATCTAAACCAAATTTTTGATCAGATTCAAGTTATATTTGAAATTCAAATTGAACTCAAACTAGACTTTTAAAATTTTTTTAGCAATCTTTTTTTTATATATTAATTTTTAATATTTTCTGTATTATAAAGAAAAAGAAAAAATTTTTTTCAGCTACTTCAAACCCTTTTTCTTCAAATAAAAACATATAAAAAATATTTAAATTGTTAGAAGAATATACTAACACTAAAAAATCTAATCAAAAAGACTTTAATCTAATTAAAATAAATCAAGAAATACTAAAAACAACCAAAAAAATTAACAACAAAAAAATATTAATTAAAACGTAATCAATATAATCAAAAATAATAATAATAAAGATTCTTTTTAGTTAAATAACAAAAAAAAAGAAGTAAACTATCCAAAAACACCAGAAAATTCATCTAAAAAAATCTTTCAACAAAGAATAAAGCTACTTTGTACATCACTCATTCTATTAAAAAATCTCTTTCTAAAAAGAAAACTAATAATAATACATATGGTGATAAGTCAATAGAAATCAAGCAAATTATATATGTATTACATATATAATTTGCTTGGTTTCTGTTGACTCACCCCCATATAATAGAAACTAAAAATAATAATCTCAACAAAAATATCCAAATAGAAAGTATCCTTCAAATATTTCTCTTTTCTCCTCTTTTGATAATATGATTAAAGAAAAAAATCAAATAAATAGATTGATTAATAATCAAAATAATATTAATAATACAAAAATTAATAAAAATAATAACAAAAATAATGAAAAACAATAATAAAATAATGAAAACAATAACAATAACAATAACAATAAAAAAATAATTCATGTAATAATTGGAATAATAACATATTTGATAATAGAAGTAATATAATATCAAAATCCAATATTAAACTTATAGAAGAAGAATTCAATAAAAATAATAATCAGAATTGGAATATTATAACTAGCAACAAAAGATTCTTATTACTAATTAATTATAATTATTAACTAAAAATAGAATTCCAATTTACTAAATATAGAAAGTAGAGAAATAAAGGAGAAAAAGTATAAATCTTCAAGAATTTTAATTGGTTAAATTAGATCTACTCAGAATAAATAAATATAAAAATATAAAAAGTATAAAAAGTATAAATATATAAAAGTATAAAAAATATAAAAAGTATAAAAGTATAAGATAGAAATGATATAAAATTTAATATAAAAGTACGAAGTAGAAAAATAGAAAAAGTATAAAAGTATAGGAGTACAAGGTAAAAAAGTATAAAAAATATAAAAAGTATAGGAGTATGAAGTAGAAAAATAAAAATATACAAATTCTAATATTAATAATATATAAAGAAATTGTGAAATATTCTAAGTTTTTACATAATTTTCATAATTTCATGAAATATTACAAATTATAGAATTAACAAATTTTATAACATAATTATAATATTTGCACCCTCTTTGAAAAGATTGAGCTCCTGTGAAATTATTGTATAAAGTTCTTAATTTCTCGATTTCTCATTTGATATATCTTTGTTGGCGTTAATTATAAGTCAAAATTTTTTTGATCTATTTCTTCTTCAGAAAAAAATATTTGATAAGTTCTCCTAGCAATCATATAAGATTAAAGTCTAAGCTCTCTATTAATTTTTCTTTTGATTGCTGATAATATTGTACTAGAATGTTAGCTAATAATTGTTTAACTTTAAGATATTGCTTCAATATTTCACTATTACTCATTTGTTTTTTTAAAGTCTTTTCAAGTTGTTTTTTTAATTCTACTGGTCATTTATCTTCAGCTAGAAAACTTACAATATTCTCTTTTCAATAAGTTAAACCTGTCATTGAATTCATATCTAAGATAAAACTAAATACAGTTTCTTTTACAGTTTGTAATAAATCGATTTTAGGTATGATATTGTTACTGTTTCCATTGGTTTATTAACTTTCAAGTATAGATCACGTGTTCTTTACATGTCTCAATTAAGTGGGAGAGTTATTAAAGACTTTTATGTATTTAAATGATTAAGGTTGGGAGAAACTAATTTAATAAAGAGAGGTAACGATGTGTTCATTTTGTTGAACTGCTAGAATGAGTTCAGAAATCTTCTTTTTAATTCAAATGATTTAATTATTAAGTAATCTTCTTTT